CGATACGTACCCTAAGTGTGACGATTCGATGACTTGAACGATACGAACCCTATGTGTGACGTTTCGATGACAAGTACGATACGTACCCTATGTGTGACGTTTCAATGACTAGTACGATACGTACCCTAAGTGTGACGATTCGATGACTTGAACGATACGAACCCTATGTGTGACGTTTCGATGACAAGTACGATACGTACCCTATGTGTGACGTTTCAATGACTAGTACGATACGTGCCCTATGTGTGACGATTCGATGACTTGAACGATACGAACCCTATATGTGACGTTTCGATGACTAGTACGATACGTACCCTATGTGACGACGATTCGATTACTTGAACGATACGTACCCTATGTGACGACGATTCGATTACTTGAACGATACGAACCCCATGTGTGAAGATTCGATGACTAGTACGATACGTACCCTATGTGTGAAGATTCGATGACTAGTGCGATACGTACCCTATGTGTGACGTTTTGATGACTATATAGTACGATACGTACCCTATGGGTTTCGATGACTGCATAGTACGAAACGTACCCTATTGTTGACGTTTTGATGACTACATAGTACGATACGAAACCTATGTGTGACGTTTTGATGACTATATAGTACGATACGTACCCTATGTGTGACGTTTTGATGACTACATAGTACGATACGAACCCTATGTGTGACGATTCGATGACTTGAACGATACGAACCCTATGGGTGACATTTCGATGAGTAGTACGAAACGGACCCTAGGTGTGACGTTTCGATGACTAGTGCGATACGTACCCTATGTGTGACGATTCGATGGCTTGAACGATACAAAACCTATGTGTGATGTTTCGATGACTAGTACGATACGTACCCTATGTGTGACGTTTCGATGACTAGTGCGATACGTACCCTATGTGTGACGATTCGATGGCTTGAACGATACAAACCCTATGTGTGATGTTTCGATGACTAGTACGATACGTACCCTATGTGTGACGTTTTGATGACTATATAGTACGATACGTACCCTATGTGTTTCGATGACTGCATAGTACGAAACGTACCCTATGTGTGACGTTTTGATGACTACATAGTACGATACGAACCCTATGTGTGACGTTTTGATGACTACATAGTACGATACGTACCCTATGTATGACGTTTTGATGACTGCATAGTACGATACGAACCCTATGTGTGACGTTTCGATGACTACATAGTACGATACGTACCCTATGTGTGATATTTCGATGACTACATAGTACGATACGTACCCTATGTGTGTCGTTTTGATGACTACATAGTACGATACGTACCCTATGTGTATCGTTTCGATGACTACATAGTACGATACGTACCCTATGTGTGACGTTTTGATGACTACATAGTACGATACGTACCCTATGTGTGACGTTTTGATGACTACATAGTACGATACGTACCCTATGTGTGACGTTTTGATGACTACATAGTACGATACGTACCCTATGTCTGACGTTTTGATGACTACATAGTACGATACGTACCCTATGTGTGACGTTTTGATGACTATATAGTACGATACGTACCCTATGTGTGACGTTTTGATGACTACATACAAAAAAAATGTAGTACGATACATACCCTATGTGTGATATTTCGATGACTACATAGTACGATACGTACCCTGAAACCTTTATCAGATAAATGACTAGTGATGCTTTTGTACGCAAAGGTGTTAAATATTTTTGATTTAGCAAAATAAAATCGAAGTCGCTTATTATACGCTATAAGCATACACGTTCTGTATATACAAAATCATTCATACCGTCGTGTGTTTGACAACTGGCGTCTGGTGTATATAAGTTCCATAACGGGTGTTTGTTGGATATTATGTTTATTTAACTTGGGTCAATTAATTAAATAATGCCTGAAAAAACACATGTTCTTTGGAAAAATATGTTATTTCTGTATCTTATAGCGGAAATATTTGCAATGAACCATGCCGTCACAACTGCAGATGAAGCCGTAAAGCATTGTTATGTGACCTAAAAATTGAAATATTGACCACTAACAAGCGGTTTAGAATCTAAGAGGTAAAAACGTTTACCGACTCCTGGCAGATGTACCCAATGAGTCGTAAGTGCAAAAACTTATAGTGGTTATTGGAGTGAGGAAAATTATAGTGGTTGTAGTAGTGAGGTAACTTATAGTGGTTGTGGGAGTGATGAAACTTGTAGTGGTTATAGGAATTTAATAGCTATAGCGATTGTTGGAGTGACTATAACTATAGTGGTTTTGGGAGTAAGGGTAAATAACGTTACAGACATTTTTGAGTTCAAGGACATCAAGTGTACCTCTCTAGTGGTCCAGTCGAAGCTGTCGTCCCGGGACTGTTGTAGGAAGCACACGGCATTATCTTCAAAAGTGCACGTCAATGTCGTATCCACTGTAATAAGGTCAATCGATACACACGTGCGTTTACATGTTTTAGATACATTTCCATAACATAAAAAACCCGGCAACTCGTTAAAGGTTTAACGATAGTTTTAAGGATCCGTGCACTATTCCGTCTTTGCGTATTGCAGAGTTATCTTCTCTTGGGAGCAGGTATTGATTGTTACGTCATTGGTTTGTGCGAGAAAATTACGTCGTTTTCTCAAAAATTGATGACGTTTCTCTCACAAACAAGTGACGTAACAAGCAATACCTGCTCCCAAGAGAAGATCACTCTGCGATACGCAAAGTCGGAATAGGAGTGAAAGCAATTTATGATTCCGTTGTGGTTTTTACACATTAAGTGGCCTTCAGTTGCATTATTTTAATTGTTGAGATATCTGTAATCTATTGTAGGACTACGCAAAGGATCAACTGCTGATCAGGAAGCTCAGTTGATCAGAATTAATATATATTATAACAGTTATCTACTGATTTACCTGACACGTCTTCACATATCCCACCACTTAGTCCAGATGGGCAGGTGCATTCATATCCGGTCTGCATGTTTGAGTTTGAAAGACACGTACCTCCATTCAGGCAGGGGTTCGATAGACATCCTAAACAGACCATACTTGGAGTCAGTTGTATCAATCTCATTAGCGTAACATCTGATTAGTAAAAAATTTGAACCCCTTCTATTTAGATTATCAACAAAATTGAAAATATAAAAACCAAAGTCATAGGATTGAAAACTGTAGACAACTTCCGAAACCACATCATATTTCATATTTCTATTCGTTTTATTTTTGTAAATATGACTTTTTTTAAATTGATTCAATTTAAAATCAATCTAGTGACGTCAAATAAGTAAGACACTGTGCACCAGGAAATTTTCGCCCAGTCATACTTACGTCCTTCTCCTATAAACTCAATTTTCTGCCAGTTTAAATTTTCGCAAAATAACTATGTATATTATGTTGTTTACTTATATTCCCTGTAATACAGAAATTGCTCTCATTAAGGTGGGCGAAAAAAGGCGAAAATTTTACTGCATCGAACATTTTCCGGTTTATAGCGATACATGTAATATATTTAACGATAACAATCTTCATGTATTCTCTGCGTATGCATAGAGTCGAAAGTGTCTTAACATAATATAACGGGATTAACCACTTCGTTCCATCCACTGTTACAATAACTCACCACATCTATCCGAGGTAAAGGTGATGTTGTCGAGGGCTATATCAGAGGTGTAGGACGCTCCTCTTATGGCAGTAAATAGTAACTGAAATGTCGAGAAAACTTGACATGGTCATTGTGTAATATCACATATAAAGACAAGTTCACTGTGTCATAACCAATATAGAGACACGTCACTGAATGATAATCAATATAAAGACACGTGCACTGTGTCATAACTAATATAGAGACACGTTCACTGTGTCATAACCAATCTAGAGACACGTTCACTGTGTCATAACCAATCTAGAGACACGTCACTGTGTCATAACCAATATAGAGACACGTTCTCTGTGTCATAACCAATATAGAGACACGTGCACTGTGTCATAACTAATATAGAGACACGTCACTGTGTCATAACCAATATAGAGACACGTCACTGTGTCATAACCAATATAGAGACACGTCACTGTGTCATAACCAATCTAGAGACACGTTCACTGTGTCATAACCAATATAGAGACACGTTCACTGTGTCATAACCAATATAGAGACACGTTCACTGTGTCATAACCAATATAGAGACACGTTCACTGTGTCATAACCAATATAGAGACACGTTCACTGTGTCATAACCAATATAGAGACACGTTCACTGTGTCATAACCAATATAGAGACACGTTCACTGTGTCATAACCAATATAGAGACACGTTCACTGTGTCATAACCAATATAGAGACACGTTCACTGTGTCATAACCAATATAGAGACACGTCCACTGTGTCATAACCAATATAGAGACACGTTCACTGTGTCATAACCAATATAGAGACACGTTCACTGTGTCATAACCAATATAGAGACACGTTCACTGTGTCATAACCAATATAGAGACACGTTCACTGTGTCATAACCAATATAGAGACACGTTCACTGTGTCATAACCAATATAGAGACACGTTCACTGTGTCATAACCAATATAGAGACACGTTCACTGTGTCATAACCAATATAGAGACACGTTCACTGTGTCATAACCAATATAGAGACACGTTCACTGTGTCATAACCAATATAGAGACACGTTCACTGTGTCATAACCAATATAGAGACACGTTCACTGTGTCATAACCAATATAGAGACACGTTCACTGTGTCATAACCAATATAGAGACACGTCACTGTGTCATAACCAATATAGAGACACGTCACTGTGTCATAACCAATATAACCATATAAAGACATGATCACTTTGTCACATCCCATATTAAGATTCGTTCAGTGTCATAACCAATATAGAGACACGTTCACTGTGCCATTACCAATAACAGGATACGTTCACCCTGTCATAACTGATATAAAGACATGATTCTCTGTGTCATTGCCGATACAAAGATATGTTCAGTGTGTTTTCACCCAAATAAAGACATAGTTCTCTGTGTCTTATGCAAAGCCGGAAGTATCGCGGTGTACCTATGCAGTAAATGACATGCTTTAACTTCAGGTAAGTACATTATAATGATTTTATACAAAGCCGGAAGTATCGCGGTGTACCTATGCAGTAAATGACCTGCTTTAACTTCAGGTAAGTACATTATAATGATTTTATATTGTTGTTAATTCAATCAGAGATCATTTCAAATCGGTGAAAGTATATTGATTTGTAGTAAGCTGGATTAAAGTCTTTATTTTAGGGAAAAGGCTGGTGTTCAGATTTAAGTAAAAAGTTCAGGCTTAAATCAGGCTATCTTACTCCTTGTCTCTCTAAGGAAAACTTTATCGCTTGACACTAATTGTTTTAATAAATTATTTTTATTTGTATGATACAATTTCATGTAATCTGGTCAAAATTGACAGTAGGACACAGCTGTCTAGCAAATCAAATTCATTTTTAATGATAATAATTGAACTCCTGAATACAAAGGCTCAACCCAACAATATACTCCGACTATAATAAACGATAACTGAGTTTCCTGGTAAAACTGAAGTACGTAAATGTTTATTTGCAAACTCAGTGTGTGTTTGTATTACCTCCCCTCTGTACTACATGTATTACATGACAACTTTAGTTAAATATGGCAGTAGCATACATATGTATTAGATATATCTACAGATAAACAGAAATTATATATTCTCACGTTAAATTGTTCACTTTCGTCCAAAGACACAACTCCCTGATTCCACTGCTGTCCCTGATCTCCCGTCTTGAGGAAAACACTTTCTATATCAGAGGACTCCGGTAGTGTTGACACATCTAACGCTCCAATCTTTTTACCGTACATATTATAGTAAAAAGTCAGACAGTACTCTCCGGCTTAATATGAAACAGAAGGTATGACAGTTTACACATTTAGGTTTTATCTATATTCTAAAAACCGGATTACATAACATAAAGAAAGACAATAATTCTCATTATTGGAACATGTGATGTCTTATTTATAAAAACAAAAGGGAGAGATAGACTTTTCTATAAACTTTCAGTCCAAAATCAAACATCAAATGTAACCTCCCGCATGCAAATATAGCAAAGCAATTGAAATACTGAGTATCTTCATCCAAACTCATTCCAAATCGTCCATCATATTCAAACAGGTTTCTTAAAGCGTATTTCCAATTGCGTATACAATTATTGAATCAGTTCAATTAATTTGCCATTATTTATAAAAACTACTTTAAATGCCACAATTTAGTATTATCTATCGTAATGTATGACATAGTCGGTGTATTACCTGGATATGTTGATGCTGAGCGTAGGACTGCCATATCAGATATGAATGGACCTGAAGCCTCTATGAAGGCATAATGGCTACCTTCCTGCGCAGAAGTCGGCCCAGTCTTTGGTGACGGAGTATCACCCTGTTGTTAATGGACATACAACTTTGTTAGTAGTTTGTTTGGTTGTGCTTTACGTCCTTTTAGTAGCTATGGTCATTTTAGTATGTCCAAGATATTGGTGGTGGAGAAAAACCAGTGGACCCGGGAAGGAACCACCGACCTGCGGTGAGTACCTGGCGACTGCCCATATAGACACAACCCACTGATGGAGGGCTAGTGATTATAGATGCCAGACACCTTTTCCACTCGGCCACCACGACCCAGTGATGGGGGGATAGTTAGTATAGATGCCAGACACCTTTACCACTCGGCCACCACGACCCAGTGATGGAGGGCTATTGATAATAGATGCCAGACACCTTTACCACTCAGCCACCACGACCCAGTGATGGAAGGTTAGTGATAATAGATGCCCGACACCTTAAACACCCGGCCACCACGACCCAGGGATGGAAGGTTAGTGATAATAGATGCCAGACTCCTTAAACACCCGGCCACCACGACCCAGGGATGGAAGGTTAGTGATAATAGATGCCAGGCACCTTTACCACTCGGCCACCACGACCCAGTGATGGACGGCTAGTGATAATAGATGCCAGACACCTTAAACACTCGGCCACCACGACCCATTGATGGAAGGTTAGTGATTATAGATGTCAGACACCTTAACCACTCCGCCACCACGACCCAGTGATGGAGGGCTATTGATAATAGATGCCAGACACCTTTACCACGCGGCCACCACGGCCAAGTGATGGAAGGTTAGTGATAATAGATGCCCGACACCTTAAACACCCGGCCACCACGACCCAGTGATGGAAGGCTAGTGATAATAGATGCCAGACACCTTTACCACTCAGCCACCACGACCCAGTGATGGAGGGCTATTGATAATAGATGCCAGACACCTTTACCACTCGGCCACCCCGACCCAGTGATGGAAGGTTAGTGATAATAGATGTCAGACACCTTAACCACTCGGCCACCACGACCCAGTGATGGGGGGATAGTTAGTATAGATGCCAGACACCTTTACCACGCGGCCACCACGGCCAAGTGATGGAAGGTTAGTGATAATAGATGCCAGACCCCTTTACCACTCGGCCACCGCGACCCATTGATGGAAGGTTAGTGATTATAGATGCCAGACACCTTTACCCCTCGGCCACCGCGACCCATTGATGGAAGGTTAGTGATTATTGATGTCAGACACCTTAACCACTCGGCCACCACGACCCAGTGATGGAGGGCTATTGATAATAGATGCCAGACACCTTAAACACTCGGCCACCACGACGCAGTGATGGACGGCTGGTGATTATAGATGTCAGACACCTTTACCACTCCTCTTACAGAATTAGAGTTAACAATCTCCGAAATATATATAACAACTGCGACAAGTATATTCATAAGCAGAGCAGTATTTAACTGGTTAATACTGTGTAATGCTTGTTTGTTTGTTTGTTCACGTTTAACGGCCCATCGACAACTGTGGTCATTTAGGGCAAGGGTGTCTTTTTTTCTAAACAAACATGTGAGTAGTGGAGATAAAATCAGATAAAAATGAATATTTCTAAAAGCATTCGCATTGTATGTGTAAATAACTAAAATAAAAAAGGGGTTAACAAAAGACAGAGATAAGGAATAGATGATATGGACTATGTGATACATATAACGTCAATGAGGGTAAGGTTGGTTTAAAAGCATCAGAGTCTATAGAATAGACCGATGTCTTTCAAATAGAAACTGAAGAGAGTTTTCATATCCGGGACTCGAAAGGAATTATCACGATTGTGTTTAAAATCGGATCATTCTATAAGATAATGTTCCACTGTAAATGGAGTGCCACATGCGTGGCATGAACGTGGATCTTCTCGTTTTAAAAGTTAAGAAATAGAAGTATACGTGTGCCCAGTACGGAGCCGAGAGAGGACAACTTCCTCTCTACGATCTTTCCGACTGGGAACAGATGTTTTAAGTTTCGGTTGTACTTTAAAAAGTTTGTTGCTGGTCTCGAGAGACCAGCGTTGCTGCCTATCTTTTTGAATGGCTGTATGAATAATAGGTTTAAAATCTGTACATGGTAGTTTGATGTTTGTTTGTTGTATAATGCAGTGTTGAACATATATAACTGGACCATATCGTGTGACCAAATTCATCTAGTTCGATCGGTTTGGTGACATGATTCAAAGGAGTTATATTCCTGACAGCACACGTTCCTTTACGATGCAAGCTAGATTTTCTTGACCTTTTGCTTTTCAAGAAAGCAGAGGTTACAGTGGACCAGTGGTTATGGTGTTCGCGAATTTGAGCAATACGTACTGATTGATTAACAACCCAATCAAAGTCATCCGTCTGACTTTGGCTTAAAAAGCACTCATTTCCGACTTCAAAATCACAGCGGTCATGTACAGGTGATACTGAAAAACAAAACAAATACGCCAATATTTTTATATATGTCTCATAAGTAATAACGACAGTATGATCCAATATTGGCACTGGATCCGAACAAACAAATGCTGGTTGGATCTTTTCAGTTTGAATTTGATATTGATATTGGTAAGTACTTTAATCTGAATTGATTCAGGACCTGACGGATATGTGTTATGTACCTACCACATTGTTGTAGCTGAAGATTGTCGATAGCAATATCTCCCAGGAAGTAATTTCCGACTGTTGCCAAAAGTGCAACCTGTGTTGTTAAAAGGTAATCGCAAGTTTTAATTCAATCAGAAATTAATTCCATGTCTAGATTGTTTTATTACACATTTGCTATTTCTGACAATAATACCATATAAATTTGTATATAATATCTGTTATTTAACTTCTTTTATAAGTGCCTCTTTTTGTTTTCAATTTCAACATAGTTTATTTACATTGTACATATGTCAATTAGATTGGACATAAGGCTATACATATTTCATAATATAATATAAAATAATATTCATAGCTATTTTTGTTTTGGATTTTAACAATTAAGTCCATCATGTATATATTATGTTAATTACCCACCCTACACAAAATCCAAGGAATGCAATTTTTTAATTTTTAATTTCGGGAGAAGTTATAACCGTTAACTACAACATGCTTATTTCTGTTGAGATGCAGTATAGTTATTTTAGATAGGAAACGCAGAAAATAGACATATACATGTAGGTATGTAAATGTACACGGGTGATTCCGATCAACTGAAAAGCTGATCCTTATATTATATAAAAACATACAAATTTACTATATATTCTTCTGGAGTATGATCTTGTTGTGGTCAGATGATTGTATAATACCAAATAGATTCAGTTAAGTAAATAAATGCAACGAGAAAAGTTAGAATAAAAAAACTTCACATAACAAAAAGATAAACACCTTACTTGTTGCTGCATGGGATACTTATTCAATTGAAAAGAAAAGAATAAGAACGTCTTACGTGTGTGTTATTCTCTTTTAACGTCGGTTTGTATTGAAGGGTATTCCGGTCTATTTGTAACAGATTTGTAATATGAGAGAAAAATATTGCCTTACTGGCAAGCTAGCTTTTACACCAATTCTATATAACCTGGGGACCCGCTCTCTAGTGTAGCAATGTCGTGTGTGGTCATTAGTTGGATGGGTGACCGCCCGTTACGTATTATAGTTTGATGTTTAACTGTCAAGTTTGCTCATGATGGTAGTTCTACAACTACTGTGACACCTATAAATCACAAAAGTTCAATTTAGACCTAAACACTACCTTCTGTTTTGTACTTAGTTGCATTTCTATGGATGCGTAGTTCCATTGGTCTCCTAGATCCACGGACCTGCTCCACCATACAGCGCCGTCGGTTGCTCCCAATACCTCAAACTTTCCCATAGCGGCTCCATACATGTGATACCAAAACGACAGACACCACAGACCAGCTACAACAAACATTGTATATAAAATAAACTGAGATCTGTTAATGTTACCAACGAGAGATAGGAACTATCATGATGTTGGAGAACGGCCAATTTGGTTTTATGTTTCTGTTTACTAATCGGCGTCATGGAAAACGAATTTGAAGAGCCTGTCGATAGTTACGTACATATGTATCGTGATGACAGAATCAGATATCAGTTTAGTTTACCTTTAAATATTCACTACATGTAAATAGTGCAGTAACAAATACTTTTCGATGTGTTATCTAACTGGATGATTTACATTGGACTAATATAATTTTGGAATAATATAACTATCATCTTCTCTGTCTGATAAACGTGTAGATAGCAGTACCTTTGTATCTATCACATCAGATCTAAATAATGTTTAGCATCAATTGGTTTGGTGACAATTAAAATACACTGTTACAACGTATCCTTATAGGAGAAACATGTTTTATCCAAACATGACGCACTCGTTGTCTGGTCAGGTGTTTAATATCTGGTATCGTGTGATACAGTGACACGATCTGACTGTTAACCGTCACCAGTTGTAAACCATTCCCCGGCTCTATGTCAAATTAATTTGCAAGCATGCGGCGTTATTAGTCTAAAATATCAAAACCCCTAAAAAAAGCTTAGGCTCTTTGAGCAGACGTCATGTACACAATACCCTTCATATATTGAGATAGTTATCTTCTTACTTTATGTTTAATTTTGATTTGTATGCCTTTTTTACTAAACGATTAAAACTAATACTAGTATCCATATATTGTAAAGCGCTTTAGAGTAACTTTACAAGTTATATAGGGCGCAATTTTAATGGTGTATATTAAAGCTACTTTAATGTACGAATAACATTTTCAACCATAAACGCCCAAGATAATTGTCATCTGCAACCAAGTCAAAATGTGTCATTTGTGCAAATAAGATAAAACAATTGAGACTTACCGGGAAGAGCTTCAGTAGTCAGCAGTGCGGCATTTTCTCCTTTTCCCCGATAGGACACCTCGGCATACATGTAGTAATCACCATTATACGCCTTAGATGGTCCAGTACCGGCGGATATCGTACTTCCCTGAGATTGGGCACACGACAGACATATTTACCAAATAACACACACTGAACAGGTATAAATGATATATTTTATATAAGCAAACGTTCCTTTTAAACTTTGGACATTTTAGCCGAAGGTGTAGTTGTCCATCATGTTATAATCTTTTCAAATTATTAAAAATATGTTTAGACATAAATGTTCAATGCAATATCCTTGATTAAAAATGTTCGTTCAGTTTGAATCATTTGATGAAATATTTTCATGGTTCACCACATTTCGATCATCTTTAGTAATAAATTAACTATAGCTATGGCAGTGTTAACAATCTTAATCAATTGTCTTTTTTTTTTGTCCTGGTAAAAAACGAAAACAAGTTCAATTATTATGAAATAGGGAAATATCACACGGATGCACTCAGTTTCAACATCATGAAAATAAACATTTTATTGAGAGGAATGGTATTAAACAAACAATAATTTAATTACAAAAATAACACCATTCAAACATTTATGTTTCTTTAGATGAATTTAACGAATAGAACAATCCCGGTTTTAACCACAGTACAAATAACAGACATACTAACAGTGCATTTATTGTTAAAATGATGTCAAAAAATAATTTTATACACTTTTCAATAAAGCCTATAATGATTTTCTTGTGGGCAGACATGTGTATTAAATAGATCAGTAATGACTGCTTGTGATAAAAGCCATGCAGTTCTTGAATTCTCGCCTTGGACTTTGCCGAGTACCAGACATTTAAATATCGTAACCCGAAGTTTGAGATTTTTCAGACTTATTCCAATAGTAGGAAATGAGTATTGTTTTCTTCACTTCAAAAACAAATGTTCGTTTCCTAAAAAAGTTAATTTAATAATTCCGATCCAGATCGGAGTTAATCTCTATGATATGCTAATGTTGACGTGACGTCAAAGAATTACTGACGTGACACCAATGTATTGTTGACGTGACAGGGGAATCCCGTCGGGTTTACCCCATTGTTGACGTGACAGGGGAATCCCGCCGGGTGTACCCCATTGTTGACGTGACAGGGGAATCCCGCCGGGTTTGCCCCATTGTTGACGTGACAGGGGAATCCCGCCGGGTTTGCCCCATTGTTGACGTGACAGGGGAATCCCGCCGGGTGTCCCCCATTGTTGACTTGACAGGGAAATTCCGCCGGGTGTACCCCATTGTTGACGTGACAGGGGAATCCCGCCGGGCTTACCCCATTGGTGACGTGAAAGGGGAATCCCGCCGGGTTTGCCCCATTGTTGACGTGACAGGGAAATCCCGCCGGGCTTCCCCCATTGTTGACGTGACAGGGGAATGCCGCCGGGTGTATCCCATTGATGACGTGACAGGGGAATCCCGCCGGGGTTACCCCATTGTTGACGTGACAGGGGAATCCCGCCGGGTTTACCCTATGGTAATACAGAGATATCTTTCCCTTAACAGAAGTGTAAATCATATGTCCAACTAGGAGATAAACTACTAAAAGTTATTGAAATGTTTTAGTTCAAATACGGATATAACGTCTGTAAACGTTAATAACAAAATATGCTTGGAAATACAGATATTCCTGATTTTCAAATACAGTATGAGCAAGTTTATTTTAAATTCGAAGTAAAACGGGAGTACTGTTTTACATGTAGTACCTATTAAATATTAAAATTCGAATACTTATAATTTACATTTTTGTAAAATTTGGGTGGTATACGTTATTCTTCACATTCATAATTTGAGTACTGTACAAGAATGTATACAACTTTATAATTTTGGGATAAGTGCATTTATAATTTCGGAACCGTATTCTTGCAAACACAGGTACAAATGTAGTTTTATGATTATTTGATTCGGGCAACGTAACATCGCCAACATAATGGTCATCTAAAATTAAAAACAATACAATTATGTTTAGGTAGAAAATTCAAACGTTCAAAATTCAAGTTATGTACATTGTACATCTTTATTATTCGAATTAGAGAAACCATGTTTTATAGTATTTGTTATAAATTGCTATATGTATTTTTACCGTATGCCATGTCCAGTCAAAAATGTCTATTCCACTTTTGTCATCGTTTATGAAGAAACAGGTATCAGCACTCTCAAAGTCACAGAAAAATGAAGCGGAGGCTACAACGTATATGAAAACAAAACATTTGTTCAGTAACAATTCTTCAAGTCAAGGCATTGCTTTATTTTCAATAGTAAAAATATAAATGTCCATGTTGCTTAATAGTCATTTGTCATCGTCATTAATTGAAACAGAATATTAAAAAAGTAATTTGATTGCCGAAAAAACAGAGGCTTATCCGATCAGACGTAATACAAAACCAGATTATTTATCTTCAAATAAGTATATAGAGATAAATATGACTATCGAATTTCGAATTCAGTTTCGCGTTTAAAATCACTAGATACCCGTTAGAGAGAAATGTTTCGATGCAATCAAAGTATCTCGTTCTCCACACTAAGAAACCTTATGATATCAAAATAGCTATGTTAAAGATAATTCAGGAATGTAAAAAACTAAAGATTTTAGACGTATACGAAGCCTTATCATTCGGCATCTTTTGTTTGCCGACTTTTTAGTATTTTCCGTCTCTGACAGTTTACTTAATCTTTTAATTCGTGTAATGGTCATATTAATAAAGAGGCGTCATTGACCTTAGAATCATATCATGATGATCAATTGACCTCTGTTTACCGCACAACGTGTAGACGATATGTAAGCATTATTTATTAAATTGGAAACGACAGGAAAAATTCCGGTTTTTGTAGTGTTGTGATGTACAATCTAATTCCCTTATTCAAATTACAGGCAGACAACATATACGATCAGCACGTACCCTGTGCTTATCAACCAATTGTAGCAAAAACGAAGCTTGAGCATCATAGCATTGTTTGTGATGGTATTTACCCTTTACGTAAGCCCATGATAGTCTTTTAACTATAAGTTACCTGGAGCCTATTTATTTAAGGAGTCCATGTCGAACAATTAAAGCGGTACATGTAACAATTNTATTGCAGAGTTATCTTCTCTTGGGAGCAGGTATTGATTGTTACGTCATTGGTTTGTGTGAGAAAATTACGTCGTTTTCTCAAAAATTGATGACGTTACTCTCACAAACAAGTGACGTAACAATCAATACCTGCTCCCAAGAGAAGATAACTCTGCAATACGCAAAGACGGAATACTACTGCGGCTACAATTGCAGCAGCATACTTATTTCATCCGTAAGAGAAATGAGAGACAAGCGTTTCTTCTGTAATACCATGCATTGAACCAATGTCAAATATTGTAACCAAAATCTTGTGAAAGGGTTATCAAAAAACAGTTTCTGGAATTCTTTATCTTTCACTATGCAAGTGCGTCAACTAAGTTTATAAAACAACATTGAAACAAAATCTGAACAATTCAGAACAATGAAATATAAGAAACAATGCGACACACGAGAAAGATGAAATGTCAAGAAAGCAAAGACAATATTTACAATACGATGCATTAAATTAATGTCAAATTGTAAATAAATACCTATAAAAGGGTTGTCAACCAACAGCTTTTGTACTTCTATATAATGTAACAGACAAAACAAGACAGATATAAAGAAAGGACAGGTCTTACAAGATAGCATTACCTTTCACCTGGTCGCAGTGGACTCCCTCATAGTCGTCCTCGCACAAACATTTAAATTCAGTTGTAGTGTCATCCTGACACGATCCATGTACACACGGGCTACTTGCACAACCTGTAAATATATATAAATATATTTAATATCATATCAATATATACTGTACAGTTTTGTGATCGCACCACGCACAAAAATAGCGTGCGCAGATCGTGCATACATCGTGCACACACCGTCCGCACATCCTCCATACGTAGCGGGCGCAACTGTGCGATTTAACAATCGTTCGCCCTGTTGTGCTTTTCTCTCCGCACATCTGGGCGATTTGGAACAATTTGTTGACTAATATTACGGGATGAAAAAAATACGGAAGGTTCGTATACAATTATGTACACTGGTTATATTACTGTAATTTCTCATCACAATAATTAAGAGTATGTACAATTTTACAATGTAATGACACAGTATTACAGTGATCATTATACTGTCAAGAATGAGTTTGGCGCTAAGGTAATAGAATAGGTAAATAACAATTTAATGAAGTGATCGTAGTTTTACCTAGCCTGTGCTTGACATGATCCGATATGTGATACCGTATGACCGTTTTGAAAATACAACTAGACGTTATTATTTGTTATTAGTTGCATTCGGTTTGGCCTATAACTCCCCTTCCCCTGAATTTTCACACCTTGACCAGTTACGTAAGTGCCCCGGGTGAGGAAAACTACAGTCCAGGTACATTGTACCTGTACAAAGCGACTATGTTAGACCGTATACGGGACTGTGTAGTAATTGTACATGTGTCGATTAAGGTCGTTTAAAACTTAATGTAAACACCATTCTAAATTTCAGAAAGTATAGACAGAAAGATAAGCTTATAGATGTAGCTAGATTATAGAATCATACTTAAAAACCAAGTTTATATATTTAAACAAGAAACCGAAGATGTTGTTAAGCCATTCCTCAATTTACACCATCTACGATTGTTATCGCACAACGCTTGTCCATCGTGCGCACATATGTGCGCAAGTAATGATCTTCCAATTTTTTATTGTCGCACATCGCGCACACATCGTGTAACGTTGTGCGATCGCACAACTGTCTAAACGTAATTAATATCATATCAATATTTTGAATATATATAAAATCATATCAATATACATAAATATATTTAATATCATGTTATTATATACAAATGTTTTAAATATCATATCAATAAGTATAAATATATCAATAATTATTTCAAGATTATACGTTTGTTGTACCTTACATAACATCTCGTTTAGACACAGCTGCAAGATTTACAATGTCTTGTTTTACGTGAATCAAACACGAAATCCTAGTTCGAACTTACAGGGTTTAAAAGCAATATAACAAGTGCTTCATATTGATAAAACAATTTTGACTGTTATGTCCTTTGACAGGATGCATTCAGATTTCGTGGGGTACACATACCTGGTACGACAGCTTCAACAGTCAGACTGAAACCCGTGCCAGGAGATTTATCGTCTGCGTACGCACTGTCAAACATCAAGTACATGATGTTGGGGGTTCCATCCCAGGTTGTTCTATAAACCTCATTTGTAAAATCGCCACATTTCCTAGAAAAGTACAGGTTTATTCAGTCCTGATGTTTACACATATACTTAGCAATTTTTAACCAGGTGTTCAAGCCAAAAGAATTTAGACTGGTTTTTGTTATGAAACATCTTTTGAAATTTACACAAAAGAAAACATTTCAGAAAACAAATCAGAAGACAAAAACAATCCAAAATCCTCGACCAAAATGTTAATCTGCGCTAAACTGAATCATATGTACATTTTATAGGATTATAGAACAAAAGTAACAAAATTGGTAAGTTTCATGTAACATGCATGAAAAAGTAGGAGGGGTCGGTAGGTAAATAGTTTCATTTTTATCTTTATTTTAATCCATCAAAATGATGCTTCTATCAAATTTTACAATGTCTTTTTATAAAATTATTATCAAATTGTCAGGAATTACCTCAGATTCGCAAAACAGGAAGAACGTGAATTTAAACGGTTGACTATGGGCTTTGTTTGGTTTATAAGTTACTCTTGGATACAATAGGTGACGAACTTATCTAGGTTTGGCAAGATAATCTAGGGTAGGTTGGGATACCTAAAACGCACATCATTTTATTTCGGCCCAATAGATGTTAGGTATCAAGTTTTACAATGTATTTTTATAAAATTATTATTAAATTGTCAGGAATTACCTCAGATTCGCAAAACAGGAAGAACGTGAATTTAAACGGTTGACTATGGGCTTTGTTTGGTTTATAAGTTACTCTTGGATACAATAGGTGACGAACTTATCTAGGTTTGGCAAGATAATCTAGGGTAGGTTGGGATACCTAAAACGCACATCATTTTATTTCGGCCCAATAGATGTTAGGTAATGCGCAGTGCGCATGTAGTTGGACAGTTCAATTGTGTATAATGTTACAAATACGATGTGTAAATCTTTCGGGTAAACTTCATATAAAAACAAAACACTTCCACTTATTGTACAATTTAAGGATATACATGTGCCACAGAAAGCCGCGGACATGACCTCCTGAAAGGGGGACCCATTGAGGAGGGCCCATGACGCAGCAAGGGCTCTGATCTCATAAGCTCTCACCTTATGCAATGCCCGAACCTGATCATCTGAGTGGTCGTAACCGTACTTGATGACCTGACAGACCCATCTAGACACTGACTGAGAGGAGATATCCTGCTAACCCTGCTTAATGGGCAAAAACAGACGAGACCCCCCTGATTTTATCGAGGTAAAACCTAAGCGCCCGACAGGGACAGAGCAACCTATCCCGTTCCTCAGACCCAACGAAGGCAGTCAAAGACGGAATCTTTATATGATCGGGCGAGAAGCCAGGAACCTGATTCTTAGCCATGAAGGCAATATCAGTGAGAAGGGTAACGGCAGAGTAATTCCTGGAACACCGGAGGCAAGAGGGGTGAGAAGACAAGACATGAATCTCACTCCTCCTTCGACCTGAGGCCAGGGCAATAAGGAATACCACCTTGTAGGTAACAAACTTCAAGGAGGCAGACGCTACAGGCTCACAAGGTGCCCGCATCAGCGATTCGAGCAGCAATGGCAAATTCCACTGCGTAGCCAACTGCCGGACCCTAGGCCTGTCCAACCCAATCACCTGGACAGTAGCCTTGATCGATTCAATCTTCCTGCCGACACACCAATCACAGTAAATCTTCCATCGTGACTGGTAGACGGCAGATGAGGAAGACCTTATTGATCGAGCGATGCGATCTGACACGTCCCTAGAAAAGCCCGCATGAGCGAGGCATCCTGAGATAGCTTCCACGCCTGAAGGTGGAGGATCTCCGGACGAGAGTGCATCGTCCTGGACCGAGGGGCTCTTCTACCAGAAGCGACAAAAGCTCCGGAAACAAAGGCTGCCTCGGCCACATGGGGCGCTATCAGGAGGAGGGAACACAAATGCTTTCGAAACTTCTGCAGGACCCTGCCCATCAGGTTGAAGGACGGGAATTCACATGCATGTATTCCCTCCCAATACAGAGCGTCCACGGCCCAAGCCCTTGGATCTGGAACCGGGGAGACAAACTTTGGCAACTGATTGTTCAGTGAACTGGCGAACAGGTCTATGTGAGGCCTGTCCCACACCTGACAAATTCCCACGAAAATCGAGGGATTCAGTTGCCACTCTGTCAAAACCGGCTGGCGGCGCCTGGAAAGAGTATCCGCCAGAACATTCAACCTGCATGGTAGATGCTTTACACAAATTGTCAACTGCATTTCCTGACAAGAAGAAGAATGCGGATAGCGAAGGCACACAGGGTGTGAGACCTGGTTCCCCCTGTCTCTCCAGATACGCGACAACTGTAGTGTTGTCCGTAGCCACACAAACCACCTTGGAATGCAGGATCTCCTGAAGAGACTGCAGAGCCAACAGAACATCACTCATCTCGAGCACATTGCTGTGCTCCGAGAGCTTTTCCCCAGACCACTCCCCCGACCGGCAATGCCCGTCGAGGTAAGCTCCCCACCCTCTCATGGATGCATCCGGCTACAGGGTCATAGTGGGAACCGGCTTGGACAAAGGAACCCCTCCGAGAACTTTGTCCTGATGAGTCCACTAGCGTCCGAAATCCTTCACCGGCTGGTTCAGAGGAAGCCAGTCTTCCCAATCCCTTGAAGAAGGGACCCAGTTGGCAAGGAGAAACATCTGGAGAGGCCTGATGTGAAGTCTCCCTAACAGGACCACATCGGTCAGGGAAACCAACGTACCTGGACTTGAGACCGGCCGATGAAGGTCAGAGCAAAAGCCCTGGCCTTCTCGAACTTCTCCATCGGTTGAAGGGCGATGCCCTGAACCGTATTGAAACGGTTCCCCAGATAAACAAAATCCTGAGATGGGGAAACCTCCGACTTTTCAATGGAAGGAATGAAGCCGACCTTGAGTAAGACTTTCAGAACCAACCAGGTGACCTGCACCAGAGACTCTCTCACTAGGTGGAGGATGAGGGAATCGTCGATATAGATGTGAACATATATTCCTCGAGAGTGCAGGAATCCCACGACCACCTGCAGCAGCTTGGTGAAAACCAAAAGTGCAGTCGTGAGCCCGAACGGCATGGCCCGGAACTGAAGACCTTTCCGTTGCAAGTAAAACGGAGGTACTTCCGTGCCGACTTCTTGATGGGGATGTGGAAGTAGGCGTCCTTCAGATCTACTGAAGTGGCCCACATTCCCTCTCTCACGGAGACGATAATACCCCGAGGAGTCTCCATCTTGAAGAGAGGATCATCTACGTGCTTGTTAAAGGCACTTAGATCTATGATGGGACGCAACGCCCCGGACTTCTTCTGAACCAGAAAAATTCTGGAGTAAAACCAGGGAGTGCATACCGACATAGGAACATCCTCGATCGCGCCCTTGGTAAGCATGGTCCCTACTTCCTCCTGGAGCGCCGGAGCCTTTTCCGGATCCCCCGGTGGAGGAAAAACGATTGGCTCTGACGCTAAGGACGGGTCCCGCACTAGCGGAATGCCTAACCCCTCCTTGACCACATGCGTCTTCCGTAATTTCCTTCCACTCTGGAAGTAAAGCGGAAAGACGACCCCCACAAGAGGATCTGGTCGAGGCAGATCGAGACCTTGCCAGACAAGAGAACCGTCTGCTGACCCGACGCCTAATCCTGCGGGAGAAGGACCTAAGCTTGAGCCGAGAGGACTGCAGTCTTCTTCTTAGGAGGCGCTGACCCCTGCGAGGTACTGGCCTTCTCAGCGTGAATCCTCTTCACTAGAAGTGCAGAGGCGACCGAGTCAAATCCTTCTGAACAGAAGGAAGGGCCCCTCCAAAAAGAGTGGACCCCGAGAAGGGGGCAGTCAACAAACGGGAGCGGTAAGGCTCATCGACTGGGCGGTTTTTCAAAACTGAAAATCGTCTAGCCAACAAGACATTGACGAGCGATGACACCTGTCAAGCTGCCAGCGCTCTCAATGCCCCGTTCAGGGCAGAAGTCAATCTGTCCTGGATGTCGGCCTGCTCTGTGTCGGTTATCCGACCCTCAGGCAAGTCGGATACCCTATATAGACAAACCGTCAGGTAGTATATATAAGACAGAATCTGGATGGAGAGACGCAGCAGTCTCTCCATCTTGTGGTGTTCTTTGGGACCGAACACCACTTGGTCCACCGATTTACCGGGCCAGGCTGCAAGTTCCCTCGATTCCAGCTTAGCTGGTTACGGGGCAAACAAGCCATCATGTGTGGCATAGTCAGTGGCGTGCACCTCCGACAAATCGCCAACACTGAGCTGCAACCTAGCATACCCAGGACTACGGGTTGAAGAAGAATTCTTCTCTAAAACCCGAGACTGGGCGGTGGCCAGAGCTGAAGACACAATAGTGCCTTCTGTCAGAGAGCGGTCCGACCGAGCGGACACCCGAGGAGCCACCAAAGAACCCAAAAGGGTGGTGGACTCGGGGACAGATGACGCCGAAGCTGGTGAGCATACCTCCTCCCGAGAATCCGGGAAACGTCGGCCCTAAGGCCCGCATACCGGACAACACATGATGGGCCTCAACCTCAGCAGCCTCAGGATCACCCTCATCCTGGACATCCTCCTCAGAGGGCAAGCCCTCCTGAGGACCGTCATCGGACGACTCGGAAAGACAAGCGTCTATATCCGGGAAACCAGGTGAAAGATGAATAACAACATCGTCCTCTGCCATACCCACGCCCTCAACGTCCATAGCCTCCACACCATCCAGACCAAAAGCCTCGGGCGGAGGAAATAGGCCGACTCGAGAGAAGGCTCCCCATAACGGCGTTTAGTGGCGGTGCGCCTAACGACCGTGGCTGTAGGTTTAGGCTTATTAGCCAAACGGCAGAAGTCCTAAAGGTCCGACACACCTTCTGTGGACCGGCCGATAAGGCCCCCGAAGTAGCAGAACGTTGCAGGGGTGTCAACAAAACTGCTAACACGTCTCCGTGAGGTAGAGACAAAACCCCAAGGATAACATGACGGAAGAGCCATGGGGTTAAGCCCATATCCCGGAGGATAAGGGAAAGGTCCCGCGGGTTGGGAGTGACCCCAGAACTGGCCAAACTGGCCTGCCTGAAACTTGGGCTGGCAACCTTGCCCAAAGGGCCAAGGTGGATTGCCACTCCCTCCAGGTGGAAACCCGGACATGTACGGGCTAAGCTCGTAACAGACGGGATGCTGCCGCAACCCAAAACCCTCCGCAGGCTGGTAAGCGCGGCCCATGGTTGGTTGCCCGCAGGCACCCGTATACCCTAAGCCAGGGGGGAAACGGAGGCACAGACAATCCGGAAAGAAAGTCTGTAGTCACACCAGGACCTGAACCCCGAAAGGAACAGGCTCGGCACCAAGACTGTCCCCAACGACAGCACCACCTGGAATGCCGGGATCACTGACAGAGTCAGTGACCGGCGGCCGGTAGTCCCTACCCGAAGGCAAGCGCGAAAGCTTACGGGCGTTCCCGGCCAATTCGACCCTGGGCTGTTCCAAGCCAGGGAGTTCTTGAACAGGAAGGGTCACCCCAGAGACAGTACCACCAGACCCCAGAGAGCTGGTGGCACGACCCCTACCTCTCTGCTTCCCTCGCTTACCGGAAGAAGCAGCAGAATCTCTCATAGTCTTACGGCAAGCTGAGGGTAGTTTTGGAACAATGAAGGCCTTGTCCTGAGATTCAGTCTGTGAACAAAGTTCACAAGGCGAAACCTCACTGCAAGGACGACACTGAGGACAAGATTCATGAGGGTCCCGTTCCATGAAGAAATGGGAACACCCATGAGCTGTCCCCCGTCGCTGTCCCGACCGAGACATGTCCTCAAAAAAGAAATTAAACAAAGGTTACAAGCAGACAAACAAGGGAAAAAATAATGATATGCGATAGTACAAAGTACGCAACGTAGAAAATTTCACCCGTAATATCAATCCGAAACGGTTAGAATAAATAACGTTTGCCGAAACAAACCGTCACTGAAATAAACAGAGGTCGGAAATTTTACACACAATAATGGCGGACCGCGTGGCACACCAACGGCACACGTGGAGTAAAATAACCGGCCGAAAAAGGCACAAAAATAATGTTCAACAACAAATGATCGTAGTTGTAAGGGCAGATGGGTATAAAGCACACAAACTGCGCAATAAATTGGAGATGTCTTACATAGGCTTGTGTGGTTGACACTCAAACCAAACCGACAAAACTAAGTTTTGTTATGGAGCAAGCTCCGGGCCGTCAGCAGGCAGCAGACGCCATAAAAGGAAGAAGAAGGGAGACCACTCCGTGGCTCTGTCGTCGAGATATGGGTTACGTCACGGTAGGGAGGTAGGGGTATTTGAATCTTTTGTTTTTGGGCTACAAAGATGGGTGAAGGTATTGTATATGCATACCAAACTTAAGGTAATTATTACTCAAATGAAATATATTTTTGTCCGTTTTGATAACTTTTCGGTCTACGTATTACCAAATATAGACATAGTAACACACTCTTCAAAATCAGGAAAGCCAACATCACTAAAACTTATGAATCGTATAAAAGATAAAACATGCTGATAGTTATTATTTTTCTAGAATTCGGAGAGTGGAATGCCACGTACTTGAGTCCACTCTGTCCCATCAGATTATAACGAATCTCCAGCCAGTGGTAGCATCTATTGTCGTTTGTGTTGTACGGCAGGTTTAGGGAATTGATTGTCAGCTGTATGAGTTTGCCGGTGGGACCCTAAAGTAGGCAAGAACATGATTGTTGAGGAGGGTAAATTCCAATACACCGAAAATGAAGATATTTTTTTCTGTAATCCATTACACCCTGTCTTTATAATCAATATAATAAAATGTGAAATATTATGATTTGCCTGTTTCACGGTCTTTTCTTTGACATAATACATTTTGTAAATATGTATGGATATCTACACAGTATATCCATATCCATATCCATATCCATATATGCACTGGATATCAATTTGATATAAACTAATCTATGTTATATATCTCGCAGATATACGAGGGCAGTCTAGTATTTGTCAGTGTGCGTTTTCATTAATAACAATCTAATAGCAGTCATGTAGTACTCTCTACTGGTAAATATTTTATACACAAGACGCCTGTGTTGATTCCTGACATAAAGCGGAGAAACGTGAAGGTTAACTGAATTGGCAGACGTAGCTGCACTTGAGGTTAATGCATGAATGTCATTCATCAAAACACTAATGTGCTTTAAACAAAACTATTTTTCATATAAATAGATAACCTCCCTTTGTCTCTCTGCTAGACTGTCACCTTTATATTTTACTTAGAACTATTTATTCATTTTGAATTGATACCGGCAATAAATGTATGTATGTTAATTAAATAATATAAATGTATGAGATAAATCTTACAAATATTTATATAAATGAATTTTGATAGAGTGTGTGGGATTTTCTGTCTATTAGTTAAATTATTTTTTCCACTTTGGTTTACCATTGTGATTTTGAAGAATGATTTTTGTTCTTAAGATTGGCAGAACTACATTATTATCTTACTGATATTTCGCTATTGTTGTAAATGTTATTTTTACAATTTCATGTACATTGTTATATAAACACGAACATTGGAAAAAGACACCCACAAACACATCCGAATAAAATAACATCAATCTTAATCAGTCAAACGCAGAAGAAATACCCACCTAACCGAGATATACATAGAAATACCTAACTTACCGAGACATGCTTAGAAATACCCAACTTACCGAGACATGTTTAGAAATACCCAACTTACCGACATATGCATAGAAATGTCCACTTAACCGAGACAGGCTTAGAAATACCCACCTAACTGAGACATACATAGAGGACCTGTCATAGGTTTCCCTTCATATTATATTCCTAATACAAATTAAGGATTTTTCATGTTAACGAGCCTCTGGCAAGCAAAGCTGAAATATCCTTAACGAGTATCACCAATCTAATATGAAGGGAAACGAATGACAGATTCTTTTAATTATATATACGAAATAAACTGTATAACTGTGATCTGAAACGAATATTTTGCACTTGGCCGCCTCTGAAATGATGAAAATTGCGTCCGCTTCACAATGACGTGACGTCACATTGATTGTTTCTATTCGATTGTGATATTACACACGTTACATAAATAAAAATATTGTGATGGCTTTATAACACTGCATAACACGGTATGCATATGATAAAAAGAAATACCCACCTTAACGGAACATACATAGAAATCCAACCTTTCCGAGACATGCATAGAAACACCCGACAAAACATGCATATAAATACCCACCTTAACGAGACATGTGCAGTACAAATACCCACCTACACGAGCCAAGTGCAGTACAAATACCCACCTACACGAGTCATGTGCAATACAAATCCCCACCTACACGAGCCATGTGCAGTAAAATTACCCACTTACACGAGCCATGTGCAGTACAAATAGCCACTTACACGAGCCATGTGCAGTACAAATACCCACCTACACGAGCCAGGTACAGTACAAATACCCACCTACAAGTGCCGTGTGCTGTACAAATACCCAACTACACGAGCCATGTGCAGTAAAATTCCCCACTTACACGAGCCATGTACAGTACAAATCCCCCCCTACACGTGCCATGTGCTGTACAAATCCCCAACTCCACGAGCCATGTGCAGTAAAATTCCCCCCTTACAGGAGCCATGTGCAGTACAAATCCCCACCTACACGAGCCCTTTGCAGTACAAATCCCCCCCTACACGTGCCATGTGCTGTACAAATCCCCAACTACGCGAGCCATGTGCAGTAAAATTCCCCCCTTACAGGAGCCATGTGCAGTACAAATCCCCACTTACACCAGCCATGTGCAGTACAAATCCCCACCTCCACGAGCCAGGTACAGTACAAATCCCCCCCTACACGTGCCATGTGCTGTACAAATACCCAACTACACGATCCATGTGCAGTAAAATTATCCACTTACACGAGCCATGTGCAGTACAAATAACCACTTACACGAGCCATGTGCAGTACAAATACCCACCTACACGAGCCATTTGCAGTACAAATACCCACCTACACGAGCCAAGTGCTGTACAAATACCCACCTACACGAGCCAAGCGCAGTACAAATACCCACCTACACGAGCCATGTGCAGTACAAATACCCACCTACACGAGCCATGTGCTGTACAAATACCCACCTACACGAGTCATTTGCTGTACAAATACCCACCTACACGAGCCATGTGCAGTACAAATACCCACCTACAAGAGCCATGTGCAGTACAAATACCCACTTACACGAGCCATGTGCAGTACAAATCCCCCCCTACACGAGCCATGTGCAGTACAAATACCCCCCTACACGAGCCAAGTGCTGTACAAATACCCACTTTCATTAGCCAAGTACAGTACAAATACCCACTGTCATTAGCCAAGAGCAGTACAAATACCCACTTACACCAGCCATGTGCAGTATAAATACCCACCTACACGAGCCAAGTACAGTACAAATACCCACCTACACGAGCCAAGTGCTGTACAAATACCAACCTACACGAGCCAAGTGCAGTACAAATACCCACCCACACGAGCCAAGTGCTGTACAAATACCCACTTTCATTAGCCAAGTACAGTACAAATACCCACTGTCATTAGCCAAGAGCAGTACAAATACCCACTTACACCAGCCATGTGCAGTACAAATACCCACCTACACGAGCCAAGTGCAGTACCAATACCCACCAACACGAGCCAAGTGCAGTACAAATACCCACTTACACGAGCCATGTGTTGTACAAATACCCCCCTACACAAGCCAAGTGCAGTACAAATACCCACCCACACGAACCAAGTGCTGTACAAATACCCACTTTCATTAGCCAAGTACAGTACAAATACCCACTGTCATTAGCCAAGAGCAGTACAAATCCCCACTTACCCCAGCCATGTGCAGTACAAATCCCCACCTACACGAGCCAAGTGCAGTACAAATACCCACCTACACGAGCCATGTTCTGTACAAATACCCACCTTCATTAGCCATGCCCGGTTTGCTCCTGCATTGTTATTTTGGAGACAATTTACATTCGTTTGACACGAGATATTTGCAGTAAAAATAGCCACCTAAACAAGAGATGCGCAGTACAAATACCAACCTTTGCAAGCCAAGCACAGTCAGTTCCTGCATCGTAGTTCTGGGGATAGTTTGGAGATTCAATAGTTTTAGGCCCTGTCGTTACGTCTATCGTACCGCCACAAACTGCAGCAAATCAATATTGAGTCTGATAATCACACTGTTCAATAAAAAGTACATTATTATCAATTATGTATCTTTTATAGGTGTCATCTAATGGCATTTTTTGACTTTCAGATACCACATTACGCATAACATTCCGCTTTCGTTACACACATTTAAGTATGTATCAGGTAGGTGTGCTCACATAAGTAATTTAATATCATAATAAAGTCTTTCGTCTTATACAATACCTGGATCCGTCACGACCTGTGAACAATCGGTGCCATCAAGTCCTGCAGGACATAAACAGCCACACGTCTGATCAACGAACCCGCCATTTTGACAAATCGGCGAACCAGTTCCGCACTTTTCTAAAATATGTAGAGAAGGTGTAACTTTCATAATGCTAAATAGAATGACTGAAAATCAGGTTCAGATAAATGAAGTAGATGATTGACTGTTAAGATGGAATAAGCTGCTATTACTGTTACAACTGTAATAAGTCGTGATCAATCATCGTGGATGGGCTCCAGATTTTAACACTGTGCGCGTGGTTAACGTATTTGTTGGAATGACTAACCCAAACAAGTGTACCGCGGGGCAGAACAAAATACGCCCGTCGAATGCCATATAGTGTTATTTACTTTCTTACATTGAAATAAGATCAATCTAAGAGTTGTTAGCTGATATGCTATAAAAAATGAAGGAGAAAATCTTCAGACAAAAAAACAAATACTGAAATGAACAAAAGGCAATAAATTTTGCAAAAATCGTCGAATCAAAATTCTTTTAAGGGAGACACAACTTCATATCATGATTATAAAGGATACCAAGTTTCAAAGAGATCGGTCGAAAAATGTAGGAGAAGATTTCCGGACAAATACAAATACTGAAATGAACAAAGGGCAATAACTTCTGGAAGAATTGTCGAATCAAAATCTTTTAAGGGAGACACAACTTCATATCATGATTATCATGCATACCAATTTCAAAGAGATCGGTCGAAAAATGTAGGAGGAGATTGCCGGACAAACAAAGTTTACGCCGTCGGCCGGACGGACAACGCCATACCATAATACTACCGTCAAATTTGACGGTCGTATACAAATATTGTTTATAATCTATATATAGGTACCTTTTATATTTCTCAATTCAAAAAGTCAACTCCACTCCATTTTTTATCCGACTTCTATGCCAAACGATCATCGACATTCACGATTGGTGACAAACGTTAACAAATACAACGTTTATGCGGAGGAATACTTGAACCTTAAACGTTGTAGTAAGATATTATTACAGAAATATCTTTGTCGCTGGCTTCTCCATTACCGTTCTTACTTCCAAAATAGTGTTGTTATTCTCAATTAATGTTTTCATAATTCTATAATAGTTTGTTCATAACGGATTATTTCTTACGCGGAACACCCATATGGAAAAAAAATGTCGGTGACTTTGCTTATTTGAATAATCCAATGGCGGACATTTGACCCATTGGGATAACACTAAGGAGTTTAAGTTTTTGCTTATAAAGGATGGTTAGTAATTTGACATATCTACAGACTTACTTATACATCTGCCAGTGGTCATTATGTGAGAGTACCTGTTAGGCTGTTTACGTTCGGTATATATATCACCAACATATCTAAAGACTTACCTGTACATCTGTCAGTGGTCAGTATGTGAGAGTACCTGTACATATTTACACATTCGGTATATATATCACCAACATATCTACAGATTTAACTTAACTGTACATCTGCCAGTGGTCATTATGTGTTATAATATGTACAACACTTCACAGTCGATATAGCTATCAACAACATATCTACAGACTTACCTGTACATCTGTCAGTGGTCATTGTGTGAGAGTTCATGTACAGCTGTACACATTCGGTATATATATCACCAACATATCTACAGACTTAACTGTACATCTGTCAGTGGTCATTGTGTGAGAGTTCATGTACAGCTGTACACGTTCGGTATATATATCACCAACATATCTACAGACTTACCTGTACATCTGCCAGTGGTCATTATATGAGAGTACCTGTACATCTGCCGGTGGTCATTATGTGAAAGTACCTGTACATCTGCTGGTGGTCATTATGTAAGATAATATGTACAACACTTCACAGTCAACCTACCTGTACTTCTGTCAGTGGTCATTATGTGTGTTAATATGTACAACACTTCACAGTCGGTATAACTATCAACATGTTTACAAACTTATCGGAGCAACGGTAAGAAGATGTGATATCCTTAAGGTCGTAGAATGTCAATGTAGTATCATCGGCAGCCAGTGTGTGAGAGTTCATGTACAGCTGTGCACGTTCGGTATATATATCACCAACATATCTACAGATTTAACTTAACTGTACATCTGCCAGTGGTCATTATATGAGAGTACCTGTACATCTGCCGGTGGTCATTATGTAAGATAATATGTACAACACTTAACAGTCGGTATAGCTATCAACATTTTTACAGACTTACCTGTACATCTGCCGGTGGTCATTATGTAAGATAATATGTACAACACTTCACAGTAGGTATAGCTATCAACATGTTTACAAACTTACCGGAGCACCGGTAAGAAGATGTGATATCCTTAAGGTCGTAGAATGTCAATGTAGTATCATCGGCAGCCAGTGTGTGAGAGTTCATGTACAGCTGTACACGTTCGGTATATATATCACCAACATATCTAAAGACTTACCTGTACATCTGTCAGTGGTCGTTATGTGTGATAATATGTACAACACTTCACATACTGGATAGCTATCAACATGTTTACAGACTTACCTGTACATCAGCCAGTGGTCATTATGTGAGAGTACTTGTACATCTGTCAGTGGTCATTATGTGTGTTAATATGTACAACACTTCACAGTCAACCTACCTGTACATCTGTCAGTGGTCAGTATGTGAGAGTACCTGTACATATTTACACATTCGGTATATATATCACCAACATATCTACAGACTTTCCTGTACATCTGCCAGTGGTCATTATGTGTTATAATATGTACAACACTTCACAGTCAACCTACCTGTACATCTGTCAGTGGTCGTTAGGTGTGCTAATATGTACAACACTTCACAGTAGGTATAGCTATCAACATGTTTACAGACTTACCTGTACAAAAATGTACATCTGCCGGTGGTCATTATGTGAGAGTACCTGTACATCTGCCGGTGGTCATTTTGTAAGATAATATGTACAACACTTAACAGTCGGTATAGCTATCAACATTTTTACAGACTTACCTGTACATCTGCCGGTGGTCATTTTGTAAGATAATATGTACAACACTTCAAAGTCGGTATAGCTATCAACATGTTAACAGACTTACCTGTACATCTGCTTGTGGTCATTATGTGAGAGTACCTGTACATCTGCCGGTGGTCAGTATGTGAAAGTACCTGTACATCTGCTGGTGGTCATTATGTGAGAGTACCTGTACATCTGTCAGTGGTCGTTAGGTGTGCTAATATGTACAACACTTCACAGTCAACCTACCTGTACTTCTGTCAGTGGTCATTATGTGTGTTAATATGTACAACACTTCACAGTCGGTATAGCTATCAACATGTTTACAAACTTACCGGAGCAACGGTAAGAAGATGTGATATCCTTAATGTCGTAGAATGTCAATGTAGTAGCATCGTCAGCCAGAAACTCCAGTTCCTGGTCATGGAATCTCATTATGTGTTTGCCAGTTGCATAGTCCTGGATGTGAAAAATGCATCTTTGTGTGAGTAACGCTTAAACGCAAAACACATGTCCACGAGCAAAACAGATTCTTTTAAAAACAGTTTGTTTGTTCGTTTTGGTTGTAAGATGGCTGATCAAACTGACCATATCAGCGTTTTCGTTGACTCCACTGAGGAATTAATTATCTGTTTCCATTGGCGTATGGTCATAAGCCTTTTAACACTTAGCATCGTGCCCTACAGATTCGGGAAGTTACACTATCACATGTCAGTAACCACAGACACATAGATTACATATGTGGGGTTTACTGTTATATGAATAGGGTAGCAAAATGTTGTTCCTGCTTTTGGTAGGAATTCTATTCGCTTTAAAGACGCCAAGAGTAGAACGATAGTATAATGAGGAGCTGTAAGTTAATTAGATTGGATTGATTCTCAGTTAAAAGGAAAGACACTGAGATTGTCATTTATTTATAAACAAAAAAATATAGGTAAAATGTCAGAACATATATAACTATAAAATATAGTAAAACAATAGAAAATCATCTGTTGTTTATTATTAAATAGTAATTGTAATGGTCTACCAGAATCTGAAGTGGCCATTTAATTACGCAAATAAGAGCATTTTGATGACATCACATAAGTTATATTTCTACACTCAACAATCATTTCCGACATTTCAATCACTAACGATATAACATAACGTGTATATTTTACCTTAATACCATATTGAAGAATGGATTCATAATCGTAAGGATTAGTGTCTTTTGTCTTTAGTTTAATCATATTCTGGTTATTTTCGCCATCTTTGATATTATCCCATTGCATGGTAACGTAATTATCACGGTCCGTCCGGCTTTGCTCGTGTTCCATGCCTATGGCGTGACACATTTCATGAAGAACTGTCGGATTCTAAATGAAAAGAGTACCAGTGACGATTTCGATGCGGAAACCCGTAGATTAATCAACGAGCTAATACGGACACATGAAGCATGCCTACATGAAAAGGAGATAGATTATCTTGTCAGTTTTATGCACAAAACTGGTTATTTCTATGGTTTGCCTAAAATCCACAAAAGCTCTATTACAAGTAAAGCTTTAGAAGAACAAAACTGTACATATATTGAAGTTGAAATCCTACGGATTTGAAGTTTAGACCCATAGTAGGCGGCCCTAATAGTGCAACGCAACGTTTGAGTCATCTTGTAGACCTCATTCTTAAACCTTTATGCACAAGTGTAAACATTTATATCAAAGATGATTTTGATTTTCTGAGCCATTTATCTAAACAGGTCCCACATAATGCTAAACTTGTTTCTTTTGATGTTGTTAGTTTATACACTAATATACCGCATGACCTTGGTATTGAAGCTGTTAAATATTGGTTGATCAAAAAAAAAAAAAAGTTAATTCTCGTTTTAGTAATGAATTTATACTGCAAGCTATAGACATTGTCCTCAATCGTAATCTTTTTATTTTGAGCAAGAATACTTCAACAGATTAAGGGTAAAGCGATGGGAACTAAAGATGCCCCTACACATGCAACCTTAGTTTTAGGATACTTAGAGGAAACACTTTATTCTAAGATTGAAACAAAGTTTGGGGAAAACTTTACTGAATTTATCAGAAATATTTTTTTAAGGTTCCTTGACGATTGTTTTGTTATATGGCCTTCTGATAAGGATTTAAATGAATTTCAAAACCTATTGAATTCTTTACATCCTTCTATTTGTTATACGATGGAGTGTAGCGAAACGTCTTTACCTTTCTTAGATGTTTTAGTTCAACTAGATTCAAATAAGATTACAACGGATTTATATTGTAAAGCTACAGATGCACATAATTATCTAAATTTTTACTCTAACCACAGTAAACACACTAAAGTTAATATTCCATTTAATCTTGCCTCACGGATTGTCACTATCGTCAGTGACCAACAAGCTCAAATTGCTAGACTAAGTCAACTAAAGCAATACCTTAAAGCTCAATGTTATCCTACTGAGATAATAGAACATGGTATACAGAAAGCTATTGAAAAGGGACCCTTTACTTCCCGTCTACAAAAACTAAAGGATGAATCAAAGTTAGTTCCTTTTGTTTCTACTTTCAATCCACGGAATTGTAATATGTTTCCTGTGATAAAGAACAAATGTGAAGAGTTAAAGCAAAGTAGCAGGCGTATGAGAAACATTTTTAATAAACATGCTATTTTACACTGTAGACGCCAACCTAAAAACTTGAAACGTATGTTGACATGTTCTAAGTTTGATAATTCTTGTGTAACACCAAAAGTATCCAAATGTAAGACACCAAGATGTGCTACATGTCCTATGATTATCGAGTGTAATACTTTTATTTTCAAGAATGGTTTGAAATTTACTGTGAAGGTAAATATGAATTGTAAATCAAAAAATGTAATTTATGCAATCGTTTGTTCTAAATGTGGTGATTTTTACATCGGTCAAACCGGTAATGAACTCAGAACACGTATGACTGTACATAGACAACAAACTAGAACTGATTCTTTACGAAATCTTCATGTTAACAAACATATTCATGAATGTGCTGGAGATAAATTTAATGTATTACCTTTGTATCAACTATTTTCATCAGACACTATATTAAGAGAAACGAAAGAAGACCAGCTAATCAAAATATTAAAACCAAGTCTCAACAGGCCACAGTAAAATTTTACGCTAAATTGTCTACCAATATTGTGTACTTCGTGACGTCACGTTACTATTGTAGTGTGATGCCATGTAATTGTGACGTCACGACGTTGTTCTTTTGAATAAACCTGAAGAGCCCTGTGAAGGGTGAAAGCAGCTAGTTTTTTTAGTCGGTCGTTAAACTTATTTTTTCTATATATATATAAGAGATGCAATTCAGATGTGCCGGTTATATATATATTTAAAGTAATAATGTATACACTTTTTGTATCAAAGAGAACATCCAATAATAATACTCTTTTTTAACGTCATGTACATTATCAACAATACACATAATTTCTGTAGAGCTTTTCATTACGACACCGCTAAGGAAATAAATGTTGTGTCCGTGGTGGAGGAAAACCTACGGGGGAAGACTACCGTGCCATCTGGGGGATAACAACTAACCCAATCAGACATCAATCTCTCTTTCTGCCACTACGGGGGATCGAACAAACATGATTGGGAGGGTGACTGGTCTGAGGCTCATGCTTGATTGTACACAGTAGAAATGACTGTGCGCGTTAGCGCTTACGGCTACCGACGCACCCGAAACTTGTCTGTGAACATATATCTACGTACGTAGACGCAGCCGGGCCCAAGTCCAATCTCCTGTTGTCGATCGTTCGTGACTCTTCCTACGTACGACCAACATCCTGTGGTAGATCTAAAATAAATCAAGTATTAAATTATTCATAATGTTCATACATATTTAAATGGAACTCAGAACATCCGTACGCCTTTATAAGTTATGCATAATATAAAGGGGAGGCTGATGAGGTACTCGTTGATTTTCGGCTAATGCCCGTTACGAAGTAAGTTGTCGATTACCTTGACCACTATCTATATCATAATACAGGAAACAAAATGTTGTATAATTTCTTTAGAATCATCAGCTTTGATTCACTATTTTGCTACGGGGGTTACTGTTTATGACAAAGAATTGCAGAAATTGACGAATAAAGGATGAGTGTCTATAAGGCCATTTTTTTGGGCCACGGTATATTCGGATGTTCACCTCCTTATTTTGTTCAAAGATGTCCTACTGTTTGACATGCTGAAAAACTAAGGTAAAACTTTGACCGAAAGTGAGATTCTGGGGTTACTAAAAGAGGCATGGTAAATCACAAGTATAGTTTGCTGTTTTCAAAATGAGCTAAAAATCCAAAACGATACCATTTCTGTATAAATGTATAAATTAGACAAGCATATGTACATGTAACAGAATGAAAAATGACAGAAATTCAATCGTCACTTAAATATTGTTTATATATAACGAAAGATTAAGACAAGGGGTTGTTTTAGGTATTTTTTAGATGAAAAGCGTTTTTATTTCTCAATAATTTCCTTTCTAATTAATATTTTGACTTTTATTTTACAATTTTACTCATTTAAGTAGACTTACATAAATTGCATATTGACTACATACTTTCCTCGTGTTTTATACAGTGTTATGTCTTCTGGACACATATCATACTTGGCCATTCAAAAATGGCATTTGCCAACACAACGAATGTAAAATGATTGATTTAATATATGAAGTTTGATTTGCTGGTAATTTTAAGTCTCCTAGGCTCATGCAAAGTATCTGCTTTAATCGTTAAAGTTAACCGATTTCATTGTTTTATCAAATGCTCTGCCTATTTCCAATGTTCAATCGCTGATTGTACATAAAAGGCATTTGGGGATAAGCATGTAACTTGGCATATATATTGGTAATATGATGCTATTTAATTTGTGAAAGTTTCATACTTATCCCACAATGCCTTTTTACTTAAAAACACCTTTTCTGTGATTTGGAGTAAAGGACCAAAGTGGATCTCCTCGCCTAACACCAAATACATCCATACTGACAATACTAGTCAAAAAGGGAAGAAAAGTAATTAAGAAATAATATGAGTAGCAACTAGCATTGAATGTAACAAATAAACCGTATGAAATCAACAAAAGGATCAACCGTTACTTGCAAGCATTAACTTGAACGAACAACTTAGTCTATCTTTGCATTTTCAAAGCATAAACTATCTGACTTCTGGTCAGTGTAGTATGTCAAACACCCCTCTTACTACTATAAACACGCTACTGAGCCTGTTTAATTTACATGCATTCATATAGACTAGTATTGTCAGGTTTTATTTGGTGTTAGGCAAGGAGATGCACTTAGGTCCTTGTACTCTAAATCACAGAAAAATGTGTTTTTAAGTAGAAAGGCATTGTGGGATAAGTATGAAACTTTTTACAAATTAAATATCATCATATAACTAATATATATGCCAAGTTACATGCTTATCCCCAAATGCCTTTTATGTAAAATCAGCGGATAAACATTGGAAATAGGCAGAACATTTGATAAAACAATGAAATCTATTAACTTTAACGATTAAAGCAGATACTTTGCATGAGCCTAGGAGACTTAAAACTACCAGCAAATCAATCTTCATATATTTAATCAATCATGCTATTGTAATCATGATGAAAAATGTTGTTTTTTTTATCTGTATGTTAACTTTGCTACGTAACAAAAAAACATCACAGAACCTGGGACTCACTTCAGCCACAGGTGCTGAGCAAATATTATATGATATATATAATATACAATACTAACAATTGATATCTTGAACTTATATCATTTAAAGGGTGTCCTGCACCTAATAATTCACTCAAGATTGAGAGATATTTGAAATAGCCAAGTAGGATATGTGTCCAGAAGTCATAACACTGTATAATACACGAGAACAGTATGTAGTCAATATGCAATGTATGCAAGTCTACTTTAATGAGTAAAGTTGTAAAATTCAAGTCAAAATATTAATTAGAAAGGAAATTATTGAGAATTCAAAACACTTTTCATTTGGAAATTACCTAAAACAACCCCTGTCTTAATCCTTCGTTTTATATAAACAATCTTCAAGTGACGGTTGAATTTCTGTAATTTTTTCATTCTGTTACATATGCTTGTCTGATTTATACATGTTTTTAAAAACAGAAATGGTATCATTTTTGTTTTTAATCTCATTTTGAAAACAACAAACTATGTTTGTGATTTACCCTACCCCTTTTGGTACCCCCAGAAACTTTCAGCAAGTCAAACAATAGTACATCTTTGAACAAAATCAGAAGGTGAAAATTGTAGTATGCATATACAATACCTACACCCATCTTTGTAGCCCAAAAACAAAAGATTCAAATATCCCTACCTCCCTACCGTGACGTAATCTCTATCTCGATGACAGAGCCACGGAGTGATCTCCCTTCCTCAAACCCCCTTTTATGGAGCCTAAAGGCAGCCAGGATGAGGAGGCAAGGGGAGGAATACAGGGTGGGACTCCATAAAGTTATGGTAAGTATTACATCATGAAAATTGGTTTTACTTCAAAAACCTCAATTTCATTTCAGTAATAATTACCATAACTTTAGTATGCGAATTCGTCTTACCGTAGTGGAGGCTTCGAATCCAGGCAGACCAGGCTGACGGAACAAACTCGAGACATGCTCAAGGTAGGGAAAAGGTTCAAGGAACCCCCCTAATAAAGCCCCGAAAGTAATTAAAAAATGGAAAACCTCCCCGTGAAACGAGCAGGTGTACCACCGTGGTGCCTGATAGCATACTATTTAAAATCACTGAATTACTGTGGAGGAACAGCCACAGACTGTGCAACCACCACCGGTCCAAGGGAATACAATCCATCAGAATGAGAGGCCAAGGACCGGAGATAAAAATCCGTGAAGGTAGTCTGTCCGCGCCAGAAAGCTGCGGACATGACCTCCTGAAAGGGGGACCCATTGAGGAGGGCCCATGACGCAGCAAGGGCCCTGATCTCATG